ATAGATAGATAGATAGATAGATAGATAGATAGATAGATAGATAGATAGATAACGATGCAGGGTTGATTTTTATGTAATTCTACCATTATTCATTATTTTTTCAGATTCGATTGATTGTTGGAACTCTAATAATCTCCATTAAATATTTTTCAAAAAAAATGTCCCTCTTTGTATTGAATAAGTTTTTTATTTATACTTAGCTATTGTTAAAACATTTATAGTATTTTCTTATTCAATACTTCCATGGAAACAGCAAACACTCAAAATTGCCCATAAGGATTTTAATCGTTTTGTAAACCCTAGAGACATTTGAAAAGTTAAAAATACTATTTTTAACGCACAAAGTATTCAAACTCCGACTAAAATGAAAGTGAGTTTCAAATTGCTGCATGACACTTGCCCTGTGATTTCCAAGTGAAAAGAATCATAAATAAATAATGTGGATTTCAGACGTGTCATTAGAATAATTGATTGCAAATGCACTTAATTTGATTGCAAGTGTAGGACTTTTAGAAGGGTGAAGTATGCAATTCAGCGTTTTAATCTACATCCATGCATTTTCTGAGATGTTAATGGCACTATTCGAACAATTTCATTAGATAGCTGAAAAACAGAGAGAAAAACACTTAAATTGATTTTTTTACTCGATAGTTACTTTTTTTCTGGTTCTATACATGAAGAATCACATAATTACTTATTGTATTTTAAATTATGATGCTATAGGATTTTTTTACACATTGAGAAATGGAAAGAAGTTTTTGATTGAATTTTATATATTGATAGAGCTTGAAAATACATAGATAGAATTTTCATTTTAAAATAATGGTAAAACAACCGGCAGCTGCCTGTCTATCCAATTAACGGTAAAGTTTTTTCAATTAACCGGACGGTAAGGAATTATTTTCCCCTTATGTTATTTAAACCGTTTACAACTAGCATGGTTGAAAAATCATGAATACAAAACTATTCATTTTGTAATTATCTACAGCTAGTATGGTTTTAATACCATAAAAAAATAATTTAACTGGACATAAGAGCTAGGATTTTCGTAGAGTAATAAGCATTGGTGTTATGCGGTTTTATGGTGTGGTCATCTATGCATCTATGCGTATTTTGTATTCTAATGGTCCAGGGTCACAAATTGTGAATTGCTGGACACTTGAAACTATTTTTGTGTTGAAGATAACTACGGAAATTGGTAGGTGCCAACGCTGGGGCTTGAACCCGTTTCAGACTGTCATTAGGTTGATAAATTAGCCCTCTCAGCTATAATATGTACTCAGCTGCATGGAACTAAGTGGTTTCATTAGGTGAGCTTTGTTAGTGCGATAAAATTCTGGTTCTTTAACCGTATAAGGTGAAAGCAGTTAGTATACAATTTTTCTCACAGTTAACAGTTTGAATACCATCTTATTCATTGTCATTTGACCATTTTGTTTGAATATGGTAAAGTAATAATAATAAAAAAAAATTCTTTAACCATGTTTCCCGAGAAATTTTTTGCATTGAATATAGTTGTTATGTTGAGTTTATTTGATATATGCAGAGTTTCTAACAGTGTATCTGTAACTATGTATTTATTTACTTATTTTAAAAATCTCCAGAATACTTATAAAATAGTTAAAATTATAAGATTTATTTGATTCTTATAAATTTTAATCTGTATTCTAACTCTCCGCCAAAACTCTGATTCCTCTTCTTGACTTAAGAGGACAGATAAATTAATTAAGCTAAACTATTTTAAATAAACTATTCAAGAAAGTCCTATACTCTACGATTGTTTGAGAATAGTTTTAAGAAGGGTTTACAGCCCTTATTTAGTTTAGCAATCTTTTATATTGGTTTCCAGAATTGGAAGTTATTTGCAACCTTAGTAATTATAAAAGCGATTTCGATTTGATAAAATCCAGCTAAAGAAATGAAATAGTTTGAATTCAGTATGAATTCAAACGAAATAAAGAATTATTTCATCAGTTTATATTTTATTTCATATTTATTTTTTTACGCTAATTTTGTGTAAACGTAATTATCTTTAAGGCACAGACAAAAACATTTAATTAAAATATATTAACACCTAAAAATAAACAACAACATTGAAAACTAAAGCGTATTCATAACTCCAAGAATATGTTAAAATTTATTTCAGAAATTAGTGAACTATATTATTGCTTTATGATCCGTATGACTCCATATGCTTGAATTTATACAGTATAATTACGATAAAAGTAGAAATTTTTTGAAGAAATGATTGCAAATGTATGTTATAAACAGTCTAAAAACTAACAGAAACAGCAGTATTGACTTCAGACACTTATATGAAAATTTTTTTTGAGTTTTTCTTTTGACATATATTACAGTTGTGCATTTATTAAATGCTTCATTTTAAAGTTAATACACTAAAGTTACTCATTTTTTAGAAAACATATATTATTCTCAGTACCTAAGCTGGTTTTTTTTTAAATTATAGCAACAAATAACACAAACTTCCAAACAAATTTTTCATATATGGAGGAAAAAATATTCTAAAATGTTGCAAAAAAAATTTCTATTCCTGAAAAAGAATCAAATTGTTATTGATTTGAGTTGTTTTAATGCATGAAAAGAAACAAAAACAAAACTACCTAGACATTTCTTATTTTTGAAATTTTATATCCTAGTACAAAATAAAAACATTTATCAAAGAATATTGAATCATTATTCTTCTTCAAAGAAGAAATAAAATATACTTTGAATATTTTTTGACAAATAACGTTTCGATTAGTTTTATTTTGTTTATTTTCTAATTTAGAGTTTATTTTTATTTTGAAACAGCATACTTCTTCAAGTGCATTTGAATTTCGTATATTTAGAAAAATACATTCAGGTATATTGTTTTTTCAAGCTATTTACATTTTCAAAATAAGTAACAATCAGATTGAATGTCTGCAAATAATTTTAATATTGTAGTTATGCACATTGAAATTAATTATTCATATTTAAGTCAAAAGGCAAAAAGAAAAATGTTTGAAGAAGAAAAAACTCCTATTTATTACTTGAACCTTGGAATTTATTAGTTTTTGATTATATATATATNTCATATATATATATATATATGAACAAGTCTTCATGTTCAAATTGGAATTATTATCATATTATCAGGGACCAACATGCATCATTTTGAAAGCGTACATTGCACGTTTGCTGTGTGCCATGGTGGCAGAATTCGTGTTTATGAGGGACAATGCCAATCCTCACCGAGAAAAGATCGTATACGAATGCCTTCGATCTTAAGATATTACTAGTACAGAGTGGCCAGCATTTCCACCTGATTTGAATCCGATAAAACAAATTGCTTGGCATTCTTAGCCAATAAGTTGTAGTCCGACAACCACCTCAATTTCCTGTACTGGAACTTCGGAGAGCATTACCTGCTGAGTGGAGGAATTTCCCCCAAGATTAACTCGATAATTTGATACAAAGCATACATAGGCATTGTACAGACTGTATTTCATCGTACGCGAGACATACAATTTATTTACCATTATTCAAACTGTGTAATATTAAACTTTTGCAAAGGAGATATTGCTTTTTATTACTCTAAGTCAGGTAGTTTTTTATAATGGTATACATATACCATTTTTTTCTTCCTTATCTTTTTTTTTAATAAGTTAATTTATTAATAAGTCTTGCTTGCTTTGCTTCTAAGCCTTTATTTTCCGAATCTAGTATTATCTCTAATTTAAATACATGCATTTATTTACCGATTGTACAAGTCCAGAATTTGACGAGTATTAGTGGGTTAGTTGAGGAGATGAGGAATAAAATACCACAACTAAAGCTGATGACTGAATAAGATACGTAAGCGAAGTGCATGCAGTCACTTCATTAAATACTTAAAAACCTTTGCCAAAAATGTAGCAAAGTTTCTTTTTCTTTTTGAAAGTGGTGAATTAAATTTATACGTTCGATTTTGAATATTTGATTCTTTTTACTCATTTTCCATAATAAAATTCATTTTTGTCATTTTATCCTGAGTTTTTCATGGTTAACTGTATGAAATGAGTTATTTTCCATATTTTAATCTGACATTTCCTTACTGTATTGGATAACCAACTTTGCTCGACATTAAGGAGAAATGACCATTTATAAGTTTATTTTGAAACAATAGATTTTAAATTTTATTCGCAATATTTAGTTACGCAATATTTAGTTAAAACTTGTAGCTCTATTCATGGTATTTGATTTCGGTATGGAAAAAAAAACTATTGCTATCTTCTTCTTCTTGGCACTACAGCCCATTGCAGGCCAAGGCCGTCCCAATAAGTTTTTGCTATCTTGATCTATTCTGTGCCACGCCTTCCAGTTAGTTATTTCTATTATCTTTAGGTCCTTATCTACTGCGTTCTTCAGCCACCTAGTCGGTGGACGACCCCTTTTTCTTGTACCTTCTGATCTAGAAAAAGTTACTTTTTTTTGCTGGGTTTGGTCTTCAGATCTATGAAGGCTCCCCAGCCATCTAATGCGATCGGCCTTAATAACATGAACTATGTCTGGTTGTTTATACTTTTTATATAGTTCATGATTATAAAGGGTGCGCCATTTGTTATTCTCATGGAATGCACCAAAAACTCGTCTATGTATCTCTCTCTCAAAAATCAGAAATTTGTTCTCCTCTTTTTTATTGAGAGTTCAGTACTCGCTACCATATAGAATCACTGGCTGTAGGAGTGTTTGTATATGTTAATTTTTGTCTTTTGTTTAAGAAATTTACTTTTTAGTTGGCTTCTTAAACCCAAGTAGCACTTGTTTGCCATTGCTATACGGCTATCGACTTCAGTATTTATGTCTTTTTTGCGAATTACAGTAGTCCCAAGATATTTAAATTCATCAACAGCTTCAAATTCATAATCATTTACATGCACGGGCATTCCCTTAGTGAACCCTATGTTTATCTCCATATATTTAGTTTTGTCAGCATTAATGGTTGGTCTATTTCACTCCCATTGCTATCTATTGCCATATATTTATTTTGCCGTAGTATTTCCTCAACGTGTGGCTGTGTTTCAAATCTTGTGTTCTTTACATTAATTAAGTCATATGGTTAGATACTAGACTACATATTTAATTTAGCATAAAATATGATTGGCCGATATTTGGTATCAAATATTAAATCGGTATTTACTTGGTTGACTGAATGTGCTATTCAGATTTTTATTATCAATTTTTATTATCAGTAAAATATATATTACGTAAATAAAATATAGATTACGCTTCTTAAAAGTAACTAATTAAAATTTAAAAACTACATTGGTAACGAAATTAATGCGAGTATGAGTGCACACTATATATTATCTGCAAAGAATTATTAATATAATTATTGTATAGTAACTGAAAAATATATCTAATAAATTTTAGACCTATTCTTTATCATTAATTTGAAGGAAATAAATATTGGGTAACAAGCAAATAGACTGCAAAAATAGCATGTGTTTTACATCCATTTTTAAGAAATCTGAATGCTTAAAATAAAATAAATTTTCCATATTACTATTAGAATAGTTCGAATTTGCCATTAATATATTATATTACATTATGATGAAGGTGTAATTAAATTATAAACATAAGATTATGATGATTTTTCTTATGAAACATAATGCTTTTCATAAAAAATGAAATTTAGTCCATTAAATGAAATATTACTCAACGTAATATTTCCTTATGCCCTATACCAGTTTATCCTTAATGATTTTATGATTCACGTATAATGTTCTTAAACTAACAGAAAAATACCACCTGCGCAATTTGCGACAGTTAAGTAATTTATTCTTCCTTCTATCATTCACTTTCCTTTTTTAGTTCCGCATACAGCTCTTTTAGCTGTCCGTCACAAATATTAATGTGCTCATGAGCTTATATGTCTCCGAAATTACTTTTTCATCCATAGGCTTTAGAAACGACTTGCGTTAGTTTTATGCACACTGTTTGAAAACAGTCTAACTCATTAAAACATAAGAGGGTGTAAAACCATCATATTTACGTCGAGTAATAAACATAACGAGATCTTTTTTTTTATTACTGTACCATTTCCAAGTTAATTCTTTATTCCTCGGAAAGCTATATTTACTGTCTTGATGTTCCCTTTTCTCACATTTCGTGCCTAAAGCAATTAAGTAACATTCTCACTACACAGGTTAGAGACACATGTAAAAAACTGAGAAAAAAAAGCACTTTCGTTTAACAAGCAATTACTACACATGAAAGTATTCTAAGTTTTAAAGTAATACAGCAAAACAAGTGGGTTGTAAAAAAACACGATTTTTAATAGTGATCGTGACAAAATGCATTTCTTATGAAATTTTCTTATGTAAACTACATATAATGTATGACACGGAATCGAAATTGATTGTTTCATATTCTTAACTATACATACCTATCTAAGATAAAAATCTTATATATATATATATATATATATATATATATATATAACCATTGTTGTATAACACATA